TAAGGCAGGAACCTCTATTCTCCAGATAATAAAACTGAAGCCTGGTGAGATCATGACTGCCCACAGCCACACAACCACTAATGGAAGGACAATCAGGTAGCCTGGCTTCAGAGCTCAACCACATCATGACTACATTGTGGTCCTTTATCTTCCGGCCTATATATATATACACATATATATCACGCACAATAGCAAAGACATGTGAATGAAGAGTCCACACCCTTTAAAAATAATTCTCACGTAACTACAAGTTCAGACTGAGTTCTACTGGCAAAGCTGCCTGTGAAAACCTGCCCTGGGAGATCTGCCCACACACTACACTAATTAATCTACTCTCATAAAAACCATGGGACTGATTTTGATCTACAAGCCATGAAATGTACATTCAGGAGCTTTGTTTCCACCAGAAAGCCATCCAAACTGAATTGGATGTTTTTTTAAGTTTGTCAGCTAATAGCTCAAACTTAAGAAACCTTGATTTCCCACCCTTTACCAGATCAAGATGGAAAATAAAATATCCCCTCATCAATGTGAGAAAGACAGTAAAGGACAAAGAAGGATTTTTAACTCTTAAAAAATAGAAAAGTAAACACCCCATTAACTCCCAAGATTTTAGAGCAAAAAGAAAAAGCAATTATTAAAGGATATAGACACACTCACTCATAGAGTACATCTCATGCCAACGCCTCAGTGGGAAGATGGAAGCAGGCATGGCACGATCAATAAATAAACAATGCATCCCAACCATCAGGCCCTCACCACAAGATGCCCCGCAGAGCACCCACAGCTTCTGCTGACATTTTGTTTAGGTTTTTTTCTTAAATCAGGTTTATGTGAACCAGCAACAATGAATTCATGAATGAGGGGAAAGGGTGCATTCATTATTATTTGAGGCAAATCTCACTCAAGAAACACTGAAAGTTTACACATGAACATTTCAAATTGTAGAAAGAGGAGGGGAATAAGGTAGAAATAATGATTTCAAGGATGTCAAAAATAATTCAACCATTCCATATGCCTTCACAGAGAAGATAGTTCTTATTTATGACCCCTGAATTCAAACATTCTTAAACTTTTTTTCTTGATCTGGCATGGAACTCCAGGGCAACATCTCACTAATGGAAAAGATAAAAACCAAGAAGGGAAGAAATAAGGGGACAGACTCACTCTCCACCCAACATGCAGTTTGATTTGATTTCAAATCTGATTTGATTTCAAAAGTGACTCCATCTTCTCTCCTCTGGTAATCACTACCTGCTGAACTTTTACCATGTTTTGTTAATTATGTCCACTTAACTATTTTATGCAACAGAAGACTATGAACCTAGCTCTATTCACTATAAAGGGGATGAGGGTGCTGGTGATGGTGGTGGTGGTGGTGATGAGGGTAGTGGTGATGGTAGTGGTGGGGTTGGTGGTGATGGTGGTGATGAGGGTGGTGATGATGGTGGTGGTGGGGTTGGTGGTGATGGTGGTGATGAGGGTGGTGATGATGGTGGTGGTGGGGTTGGTGGTGATGGTGGTGATGAGGGTGGTGGTGATGGTGGTGGTGGGGTTGGTGGTGATGGTGGTGATGAGGGTGGTGGTGATGGTAGTGGTGGGGTTGGTGGTGATGGTGGTGATCAGGGTGCTGGTGATGGTGATGGTGGTGGTGATGAGGGTGGTGGTGATGGTGGTGGTGGTGATGGTGGTGGTGGGGTTGGTGGTGATGGTGGTGATGAGGGTGCTGGTGATGGTGGTGGTGGTGATGGTGGTGGTGGGGTTGGTGGTGATGGTGGTGATGAGGGTGGTGATGGTGGTGGTGGTGGTGATGAGGGTGGTGGTGATGGTAGTGGTGGGGTTGGTGGTGATGATGGTGATGAGGGTGCTGGTGATGGTGGTGGTGGGGTTGGTGGTGATAGTGGTGATGAGGGTGGTGGTGATGGTAGTGGTGGGGTTGGTGGTGATAATGGCAAGTGCACTTCAGTGTCTCAATCTTACCACTGAAGAGGCATTAATATACCTTTAGAGAATGTCACAAAGTTTAGTAGAAACACTTTTTCTAAAGGGCTACTGTTCACCCAAAAAACCACGTAATTGATCCCCAATAAATGGAGAATTCATATATTTAAAAATGAATAAATTAACTATAATGTAATTTATCAGTGCTGCTGGCCTCAAGGATGGAAATGTAAATAAAATCTTCCCTGTATCTGTCAAACAAATAAATGAACTCTTCCTTGATGACAAGCCATACTTTTCTGCCTTTTTAATTTTTTTAATTTATTTATATTTTTTCCATTTTTTAATTTTAATTCCAGTGTAGTTAACATACAGTGTTATACTAGTTTCAGGTGTACAATATAGTGAGTCAGCATTTCCCTCTGTTACTCAGTCCTCATCAAGATAAGTGTACTCTTACTTAATCGCCTTCACCAATTTCACCCATCCCTTTTTTAAAGTATATTCTGCAATTTGAATCCTTTAGCTGTTACCATTTCTGACACAATTAAGCTACCAATGCATTCTGGTCATGGTGAAACATTGCTCTACCCCGGAACTTTCTAAAAAGACCCGGACTGTTAGAAACAGCCACTCAGAAATAATACCCCTCTTTACCCAGCCCTGCTGGAAGATGAATCTTTATTAGAACCAACCTTTTCTTGGAGGCCCTCATAAAAAAGTAATGAAATAATCAGACCTAAAATATATTTATTTGCTTGTGTTTATGTGGCAACGGAGAAAAAAATGAATCCTAGGAGGATCTCTGGATTTAGAAGATCCATCAATTTAAAATGCTCATTTGTCTACATATTGCTGCAACTGGAGAAGTCAGGTTAAAAAAAAAAAAAAAAAAGTCTTGGTCCTTAAGTCCTAACATTACAGGAAGCATCTGCTTTGAGAACAATGACTCACGGCCTCTGATAACAGAGTAACCTTCTCCTTTGAAAGAGAGAGAGTGCTCCCAGAAATGGCATTTTCAATGAAACTGTAGGTCAACAGAGTCAGAAAACAGCCACTAAAAATTGCATTTTCTCTCTCTCTTTTTCAAAGATTCATTCTGCTCTCAGGATAGTGTTGTCTGACCCAGTCTTGAGCACTTTAGCCTTCCCAGAGACATATGACCAACTCTCTTCCCAAAAGAAAAATCTAAGAAAAAAGTTTTAAAATGAGCCACAGTCCCCCCTTCCCCCATCTGCAGTGTTGGTACTATTTGCAGAAAAGAGAAAAGAGACTGATAAAGGAGATTGCAGAAAAGATAATGCAGTAGAAATTCTAAAATAAGAGTATACAAACATCTGAGGAAAGCCCAAATATTTATCAAAATCATCCATGTTATTCTGGACCTCTGCATTGCGGTAAAACTGCCACTCTAGTAGAGCCAAAATGATAATTCTTAGTGGATAAATAATGAATGTGGAACTACATTAAGTATTGTCTGCTCTGACTTAGTATTTCAATATTTTCTTTAGCCATTATCATAAGACCAGGATTCATTCATTTTCAGAAATAATATTTCAATAATGAAAGCAGAAGTCTACCCTCATATAAAAGGAAATAATGCATCCTGCATCTTCTTCTTCAGTATTACTACTGATAAATATTAACAGCTGGTGTTAAATTCCTCATAGGTGCTGGATACTAACTTTCACTTTATACCTGCTCTGGAAAGTAAGTTTCATTATCCCCATTTTACAGGTGAGGAAATTGAGGCTCAGTACAGTTAGGTAACTGCACAAGACCATACAACTGGTGCTAAGACAATCTCAGATCCTAAGCACTAATCTACATTTCCTCTCCAGCAAAACAAGGCCTCCCACTTTCCTGACATAACTCCCATGAAAGACAAAGTGGCTTGGCTCCCATACACATCACCTCTTCCTGACTTCTATCCCAAACTTACCCTCCTAGTCAGTCAACCTCCAGTGGAGAAAAAAAAAAACACAGATATAGATAAACTTTGATTTTTACCTTCTTTCATGATGGTGTTAATTTCTCTATGTTGGTAGAGGATCAACATTTATAAAATGAACTATTGTGGAATCCCATCCACCCTTCATCATGTGCCCTTAAATTAATTTTTTAAGATAATTCTTAACATTATAGGCATTTATGCCTCAATCTCTGTCCTCTGATGAAACATCTAAACATGCTTCTAGTTAACGGTGTTTATAGTTAGGTGGTAAGATTATGGGTGATCTTGGTTTATTTCCTTTACTTCCAGGATGTAAGCACCAAATATATACTACTCTTTCAATTAGAAAAAAAATACAATAAATGTTCATTTTAATGGGAAAAAAAAGCTTAAGTATTTACCCCCAAAATTATTTTTCCCTTCGTAATAAAAAGAAGACATTCATCGACCCAATTTAATCCTAAACCAGATTTGAATCCCAATTTAAGAGATGTGGGTTCTTTTACAAATGACTCCCACATTTATCATTTTTTCCTGTACCTTAAAAATTAAGAAATATTCCATAAAACTGAACTTTAACACTGTGTCGCTCTTTTCTTGTCCACAGGCCTACTTAATAAAATCCTTAGTACTCAATAAATATAAACATGGTTACATATGGTTTACATAAACTATATATAAATATATATCAGACTATTGACCTTGTCCATTTCCCTCTCTGGGCAGTCACTGGCCTACATTTCCCAGCCTCCTTTGCAGCTAAATGTGGCCACCAGAAGAGGAACAGAAGTGATATGAGCCCCTTCTAAGCCCATCCCATAAAAACCTCCCACATGAGAAACTCCATGCTCTTCCCCTGTAGACTTGGAAGACACATGTTGATGATGAGGGAGCCACAAAGTGGAAGGAACCTGGGTCTGTGAATCTCAGCTTGGGGGAGCATCCGGGAACACCATTTTGGACTCTACATGAGCAAAAATTAAAAGTGTACTACTTAGAACACTGCAACTCTGGGGTTTCTCTGTTACCCTACCTAACATGTGGCTTTATTAACACACTGCAGTTACTACTACAGAAGGGTAAGACTTCATGCTGTTTATCTTACCTTTTTCAAAGACTCCTTCTGCTTCCAGGACAGAGACAGTGAGGTTGGCTGCCATCTTGACCAACTCGGCCTTCACAGTGACCTGGGAAGGGCTGTGTTCTAGAAGCTCTACCCCAATAGTCACATTTCCTCCAGGCCTGACGATCCCTGGGGCTGTCACCAGAAACCTAGGCCTGAAGTTCCCAAGAAGAGGAAAAACACAGTTTCTTATCTTTACATCTCCATTCTTTTCCGATCCTCAAATCTCATAGATAGTGAGATCGACTCTCCATACTATGCCAATTGCAATTGTTCCAATTACTCCAATATTGCCCCACTGTTCCATTTAGCAACCGCACTGAAATGCTATTGAGAAAGGAATTCTCATAAATCAATCTTAATGCAATAATTCCTGCACCACTAGAGGAGAGCGTGTGTTATTATTTCCATTTTATAAACCACAAACAGCACAGGATGAGCCTCAGTGTAAATAGCTTACACTGGGGCATGCAGAAGTTACTGGCAACGTACAAGCCTCTCAACTTCTCCTTTACAGACAACCTCATGCCAGTGTGATTTTTTTCTTGGCTTAAACACACACACACACACATTTTGCGGTTTTTATTCAAACCTTCATTCATGGGCATCTGCCCCAGAAAACATCATCTAACACATACCACTGACTGAAATATACCATCGGAAATTAAACGACCAGTGGTAAAATGTCCAGGTGTAGCAGTGCATAAAAGTCCGCAAAAACAGCACTTTCTCTGCCCAAGCCAAGGGTAAAGGCTCAACTGCAAAAACCCGTAGGAGAGGGGCACTCCCCATTCAGGTGGGTGTCTCATTAGTTATCTTCCTACAGTGCCTGCACCCGAACCAATTCACCTCAGTCACACCTTGCCAATGCCGAAGCTGAGAGACCTGGTTTAGGAAAAAATACATCACACGCCTTTGAGAAAAGAAGGCACGCTGTTTGGGAGGGGGGGGAATGTTGAGGAAAAGGCAGAGGCAACATGTACTAGAACTAAAACGTGTCTCGAGAAAGTCGTTACGGTCAGAAAGACGCTTCAACAACTTCCACGGGTGGAGAAGGTGACTGTCCCACGGAGAACCCGGGGGCAGCGACAGACGGTCTACCCTGCAGGCCGGTGCCCGGCTGGGGAGTGCGGCCGCGGGGCCGGTTCCCACCCGCGGCCGCGCAGCCGCCGCCCCCTCCGCCCGCCCGGCCCCGCGCCCGGCCCCGCGCCCGGCCCCGCGCCCCGCGCCCCGCGCCCGCGCCCGCGCTCCTACCGGGGGGCCGCGGCCAGCACGGCGGTCCACACGCACACGAGGAGGGCGGCGGCCGGGAGCTCCCCGCCCCGCATCTCGGCCGCGTCTGCCTGGGCCACCGTCAGCTCCTGGGGAAATTCGCGGGCGCCGCGGGGTGTGGCTTTCCACCTCCTCCCCGCTTTTTTTTCCCCTGACTCCGGAGTTTAGCAGTCTGAAATGGGCGCGCCTAAAAGCGGAGTGAGAAGTCTAAATTGAGACAGGACTTGGTGGCTCCACCCCTCCCACCGGCATCACAATGGCGCTTCTCGCGGCTCCGGCCCGCATCGAAAATCCTGGTGGGGCGCGGGGTCCGAAAGCTGTCTCTGAATGCGGTCAAGCCCAACCTGGCCCCGGCGTCCCTGCTCCCCGCGAGAACACAGGGCGCCCACTTCCCGGGGCTGTTTACACTAGCGCTCTACCAGCGATGCCCGGAGTGAATAAACAGGCCCATCCTTGTGAGGAGAAATTCAGAGCAGCTAAGCGAAGTGGAAAAAAATCATTGTCCCCCAGACTATGAGTCATAATTTTAGAGAAATGGCAAACACACACATGCACACATGCACACACACAGACGCCAAACCAAGGTATTTTCTGGGGAGTTGTTTAACGTATATGAAAGGACAGGAGAAAAACTATTTTTACTTGAAACACAAATGAAGGCATTTCGTTTGCCTCTCCAGGAAAATGCTGTGGTTTCTCCGTTGGAAAAAAAAAAAAGAGCAAGAAAGGAATGCTGGCACACGCAAAAGTTAGGTGTTGCTACTTGGAACTGGGAGAAGCAATTATCCAGGGAGATGCTTTATATTTTTGGCTGTCTCCACACACATTTGCTACGGACAGCATTCATTAGAACTGCAAAGCTGGGAGCAATTTGTAGAAACACAGTTAGGATTGGGGTGGCTCTCCTGTCCCAGGAGGCCGGTAGCCGTGGTGCAGCAGTTACTGAGCTTCCCCAGCTCCTCACCACCCCGGCTTGTCAACAGCTCCTTCGCCAGTTCTTTGGCACTGGAACCATCTTCAGAGGACTCAGGGTTCACCATGACTACACCATAAAAGCAGAGAACTACCAGAAACTGTTGGAAAACAGGCACATTCAGTCCCTGACAACTTTTAAGTTTCTAATCCGTGGAGGAAAGTTTTACATGGTGACTTTTTCAGGCAGGGCAAAATGCACAAGGAAAAGAGGTCAGCAAAGGGATGTCACGTGACAAAGCTATGTGCTAAATAAGGGAGAAAGTAGCACCTAGACAAACTGTGGGTTTTGGAATCCAGGAACTTGCTTTCCTCCCTTTCCTGTTCCACCCTTTTTCACCCTGCTGAACGGCTTGCAGAGGTCCCTTATGTCCCTATGTCTCCTATAGGCAGCCTATCTTTAGTGGCCGGCTTCCTATGCAGGCAGGACTTGAGGATAGTGAAAAGTGTCTGAGTGGATCCTTGGGTAGAGATCCTATCCTTGACAGAGCTATCACTGCTGATCTAGTCTCCTCCCCTATGTTGTTCAGAGGAGAGGACCAAGGTCAAGTGTGAGCTAAGCCCAGAGATCTAAACCAGTGCTTCTCAAACTCTAGCATGTATGAGAATCACGTTGGAATGCAAACTCTATTTCTGGGATGGAGAATGAGATTCTACTTTACTTCAGTATACAGGGGGTCACAGAAGGTCTACAAATACAGGCAATTTGGGGGCACTTTGATTTAAAAGAGAAGTTGGGAACATGGAGAAAATTATTTTCAAGCTTCACAGAGATGGATCAATAAATTCAGGTTTATTCTAGAGGCAAGCAAATGCATTACAAGAAGACCTATAGAAAAGCTTAGAATGACCTAGTTATTTTATAAAATTAAATCTGTGCAGATCTTAAATTGATGTACCTCTCTGTTTATTTCTTCCTTTTCACAATACACACTTGTTGAAAAGCTTAACCATACAGAAATTTAGCCATGTAGATTTGCATAGAGATGAAGCTACTACATGCCTGGTACGCAGTACTCAATAAAAATTTGTTAAAAGAATTAGCAAAAAGGTTCATCTCAAAAGCTTTTTTTAAAGTTTTTTTTTTATTTACTTAAGTGATCTCTACACCCAACATGGGGCTCGAACTCACAACCCCAAGATTAAGAGTCAGATGTTCTACCAACTGAGCCAGCCAGGCGCCCCTCAGAGTCTTATTTTAATTAAGAAAAATTAAAAATAGTCTGAGATTAACAATAAGAGATAGGGTTAAATAAATTACGGTATATCCATGCAACAGAATACTTGAAGTAATTAAAAATTATGTTCTTGAATTGGAGACTAATTATCTAGAGGTAAGTATTCATGATACACTGTTGGGGGGTACAGAATCTGTTTCATAAAACAGAATTTAAATATGATTCCATTTTTATAAAAATAAAGTGTATTTATGTATACATACACATTGTAGATATATGCATTGAAGAAAGAGTTGAAGGATGCTCACCAAAATGTTGTATGTATCCTGGTGATTACCTCTGCCACCCCACACCCACAAAGTGAGCTAGCAGATCAGTTAACAATGAGGGCCAGTGGCTCACCTGCCTGGCACCTTGCACTAACCTTCAGAGAGTAAAAAATACGGCTTCTGCTTCACTGCTGGCTTTCAAGTTCACACAAAATGTCTCTTGTGGCCAACACCAACTCAGAACCATACAGGAAGGGAAATTCTGAGACACTGAGCTCCATCTTAGATGAGTTGCCATAGTACAAAGCTACCAAAGTTTGTGCCTCAACAACTTGACAGCTGTATATACCCTTTTTAACCATATTTAACTTAAAAAACAAACAAACAGAAACAGAAAAACTATGCTTTCACCTAGCATGATGCAACTTTCCCTCATACAACCAAACACAGCATAACCCTCTCTCCAAGAGGGGATATAAAGTTCCTTTAACTGTCTTTGGATTTTGTTCATGCCTCTTCTAGCTGAATCACATTCTCCCTTTGAGACCCTATAACTTCAATATCACAGTAAAAGGTAACTACTATTAACACATATGGTAGAAGAATGACAGGGAGGAGAAAAATATTGGTTAATAATGTATACAAATATATTTATATCAAAACAAGAAGGAAATGCAAATAACTAGTACAGTCCTTATTTCTGCTACTGGTCATATGGAGGTAGATGGTATTTATAACTACCTTCTTCCACTATCTATTTCTCTGCCTTCAGTTCTTTCCATGGTTCTTTTTATGGTGAGGTGACCCAGATCTTCATTTCTGAAGGATGTAGGCCATTAACAGTTCTCCCTGTATTGTATTATTGTTTTCTATTGACTTTAATCACAGAACCTGGGAAAAGAACTAAGAAATACCCTAGTACATCCTCTGCATTCCAGAAATACTTCTAATTTTCACTGTGTAGTAGCAAATCCTTGACAATCAGGATCATTCACTCACTTCTGCCAATAGAGTAACCTCTTCTTTGGCTATTGATTCACTGGCATGAGGAGCCCCAAGTGACCAGGTGGCAATCTCAACTGCCAGTTAAAGGGGAACATTGCAGTGTCCCCTACTGGGAGCATTGCTGTCTTGGAAACCAAGACCTCTGCACCAGCAGAGCCCAGTGCTGCTCTGGAATGGGAAGCAAAAATTTTAATAGTGGATCACTAGAGGTAATAGAGGAACCACTCTTATTCCACCCCTTTATTCTAGTAAAGCTGCCTTTGGGTGAAATATTAGTTGCTGATTTAGAACATAAACCACATCCTAGAGTCTATTGTTTGATTTTTTCACAAATTTGTAACTTTTCAGAAATATTATATAAGAAATTAGTGTCAACTTCTCTTCATCCTCTATTTGAGAACTATTTCAATAGACTCCTGCACAGAACACCAGAATATTCCCTGAGACTCTTTTTTAACCCAAGAGCAGAAGGAGAAAGTCCCTGTCCACTGGAAAACAAGGAATGATGTTGAAATTAACAAGGAATAATAATATTCCTTGGAATAATAATAATGAGACTTATCCTTAACTTTCTTTTTTTTTTTTTAAGATTTTATTTATTTATTTGACAGAGAGATAGCAAGAGCAAGAACACAAGTAGGGGGAGAGGGAGAAGCAGGCTTCCTGCCCAGCCAGGAGCCCGACGTGGGACTCGATCCCAGGACTCTGGGATCATGACCTGAGCCACAGGCAGACGCTTAACAACTGAGCCACCCAGGCGCCCTATCCTTAACTTTCTATATGACAGTCCAGAATTTAAAATTAGAGCTCTACGTCCAACCAAACTATCAAACAAGAGTGAACATTGAATAAAAATATTTTCAGAAATGGAATGGCTCAGGAACTTTGCCTTCCACAAATTCTTTTTAGGAAGTTACTTTAGGAGGACATATTTAGCAAACCAATGAAAAAAAAAAGCCAAGACAAAAGAAGATGTAAGAATCAGGAAAAAGTATATATAACCCCAGAGAGCAATGAAGAGAGAAGTTTCAACAGGAAGAAGAATTCCAAGAATAAGGCCTCAAGGGGGAAAAAGGGATCTTAATAGAATAGATAAACATGATGGAAAACTGGGGAGGGGTGGGGGAGGTTAGGGGTGAAGACTACAACAATGTAATGTAGTGCAATAAAAGGGAAGGGGAATTAGATACTTGAAGGGAAAGAATGCTGAATAAAAAAGGAAGTATAGGGGCGCCTGGGTGGCTCAGTCGTTTAGCGTCTGCCTTCGGCTCAGGTCATGATCCCAGGGTCCTGGGATCAAGCCCCCCATCGGGCTCCCTGCTTAGTGGGAAGCCTGCTTCTCTCTCTCCCACTCCTCCTGCTTGTGTTCCTTCTCTTGCTATATCTCTCTCTGTCAAATAAATAAATGAAATCTTTAAAAAAAAAAAGGAAGTATAGCCATAATTCATCAGTTGGCTCTGCAGTAAACAATAATTACCTAATTATGTTGATGTAGGAATGGTTTATTGGTTTGTAATTCAGAAAATCAAGCTCATTAAAGAGAAAGAATTAAGGGTTATTCTGCTTTTCCTGCATGAACTGTATCACTGGGTAACCAAAGAGTAGATATGAAGAAATTTCTCCTTATAAAAGTTTTCCAGCTAATAAATGTAAAATGAATGTTAGAATTAGAATAGCACCATATCACAGACAGCCCTTATTGAATCAATAGATCTAGACCAATGCTGCCCAAGAGAACTTTCTGTGCTGATAGAAATGCTTTATATCTGCCCTAAAGCCACAAGCAACATGAGGCTAGGAGCATTGTTGACATGTGGCTAGTGCAACTGAGAAACTGAATTTTTAATGTTGTTTAATTTGAATCTATTTAAATGTAAATAGCAACATGTGACTAATAGCAACCACAGTGGATCATGCAGACCTAAACAGTCATCATAAATGACTGCTAGTATCACAAAAGGAGCCCTGTCTCCCAGTAGAAGAACCCCTACCACCTAAGAAGTGGTCTTGCCAAAAAATTGAACGTGAATCAGATC